AACACGTGAGAATGATACAAGTTGTATTAGTGGATTTACTTGTTCATATAATTTTCTTTTAAGTGTTGTTTAAGATCCTTATTTGCACATGTAACTACGGCCATCTTTGTTTTTAATTGATCTTGTTAACAAACATTCACAGTAAGACACGTGGATTTTACCGTCACGTGTTATTCCGTTTCACCAATCATACCTCACCATATAATAAACACTAACCTCTTTTGTTTTACTATTACTCCAGTATCTATTCAATAATTACAGCTGCCTTAGTGGTCAGTGAAACCTGTGACATCCACGATGACTGCACCGCAACAACATGTCAAAATGGAAGCCCAAAATGTGTTAATATACAGGGAACTCATTTATGTACTTGCATCGTTGGCAACGATCATGATCTTCGTAAGTTATATTCACACCTTAAGACTTCATATTTTAGTAGATGTTTCATTGTTTGGTATTTCTATAAACACTTGAAAATCTTGTTAGGTTTGAACTTAGTCATTACATTCTATCACTTCGCAGTTAGGACGTCAGTGTTTCCTGTTGTTTTTAATTCATACTCAGTACAACCGTATACAGATTTACAAAGGAAACAATATCAGGTCCAATTGGTCTTTTTCGCTTGCCTAGATATTTAAGCTTTTACTCAACACATTTCATTATCGAACATATTACACCCCCCTCCCCCCCCCCCCACAACAAAAAATAAAAAATATAAGAAAGTTTATAACTTTTAAAATTTGACCAAAAATACCTGAGAGAAACTTTTAACTCTATTTTCCATATTAGGCCATGCTCCTTGCAGATCCATGATTTACAAAACAAGTTGAGTTGCTTTCATTAAAGGATGTTTGAAACAGAAGGCGATTGATTTAGGATGAGGGTTAATGAGATCTATGTTTACACAGAATTTCCTTCATTAAAGGATACTTGTTGTTATATCTCTTGAAGAAGAGTTCAGATTATAGAGTATTAGATGTTAGCTGAAGATCTACCGTCAGTAAATTGTTAGTTTAATGAGAACACCTCGTGAAATACTTAATTCAATGCGAGATGTGGAAAGTTCTTTACACGATTAATTGGTTTTTAAAATTGCACGCAGTTCATTATAACATTAATTGGATTTGTTGCCGAAGTGATTACAGTACCTTGTTAGTATCTTGTGTATTTCTTTGGTCTTTAATATGTTTGGCATCTCGTCACACTATTTTCGACCTTAGCGTACATACTATTATAATAGAGCCATTTATGTCAAAAAGGGGGAAATACCGTTATATATAATGTAAAGTCAAATTCTAATGTATATATCAAACCAGCATTAACTTCATTTCAAGTATAATGTTGACCTTGTGTTTCACTAAATTATATGAGTCATTTTACATTATAGCATGTAAATTATCTTGTAAAATATAAAAGAAATCCAAGATATCAGATATATTATACAGCATTATTGTTATCATCGTTTGTTTATATTTGTAGAGTGTCAAACCAAGGACAACTGTGATAACGCTAACATTCTACATTGCCCAACTGAGCACCGTCACTGTACTGACAATCGATGTGTATGTGAGGGCACAGGACACAACCACCCTCAGGGCCATCACCAACCAGGACAAAATCATCACCAAGGATAAAAAAACATGGTATTCTAGCACCTAATGTATATTTCTTCAGTCTCGAAGGCTGCTTTGAATTTCATTACGACATGAAGATCTTGATACTTGTAATGTACAGCGTTACATATCCATTTTATTTAAATAACCGTTTTTCATACAGGTTGGTCCCGAGTATATTGTTTAATGAGGTTCAAAATTGGAAATGCATGAAAATAAATTGTTGACATGTAAAACAGACCACTTTAGATGCAATAATACAGATAATTTTCATAATATGTTAAAGATATCCGTAACAAACGTCTTACATTTTCATAACAAAAAATGTCATTTTTACTATGTTATTTAAAGAAAAATCACCCCAAAGACCATCTTTCTGCTGCAACACTAATTAACCCTTTCTATGTAGTTTACCTGTCTATGTCCGACTTGAAAACTTTCCGGTATCTCTACTAATTACCAGTTCCAGCTCGTCAATGTCATTTGTAAGGGAAGAGTAGACAAAATGCCTAGGTACACCCACAGAAAAAATCTAACGGATGTAACTCGGGTAAGGGTGGGGGTCATTCAATGTAAGAGTGCAGTGGTATAAAGATTTCGGGTGGTCGGATGGCGGGCAGAGTAACGGAGACGAGAGACCTTCGTCATCATCTGGGTGGGGCAGTGGTATAAAGATCTCGGGTAGTCGGGTGGCGGACAGAGTAACGGAGACGAGAAACCTTCATCATCTGGGTGGCGCAGTGGTGCTGAACTCGCTTTACACCTAGCAGTTCGGGGTTCGATTCTCGGAACGGACGTGAAAAAGCTTTGGGGTAACCTGCACGACCACGTGGGTTTAATTGGGTACTCCTGTTTCCTCCAGCGCGCCAGTATCGCCGAAACCACACTTCATTCATATTGATCCTTATTCGTATTAGTTCAGCAACAAATTTTTTTATCATTGTCAAATCACGCCTAGATTTCAATAGTTGTTGTCTCGCCATCCGCTTCATAAAAGAATGTCCAATAATTCCAGAACTACATTTGTATGTGCTTCCAAAACGTTTATGTAATGGATTTCTGTTTCCCAGAATTACGTTTTACGCCAATCATGCGTAAAGTCGGCTTCATCAGAGTTTGATTGTATATGCATTCATATGGGAAACAAAATATGCCTCCAAGTCTTTTATTACGCTTCCATAATTTCTTAAATTTTGTTCATCCAGATGAGTCCTTTTTTTCTGTCCGTAATTGTTCCATGTTATCAAAACCTGGAGATAAAATCTCATTTCTAGTTAAAAGATGTGGCATCCGGAAGAAGAATATTTCACAACAATATGAATTACATTAATTTTGACAAAATTCCCTGAAACCTGATTTTTTGATGATGTCCCAAATGACGTCATAATGGTCATACATGGCAGATTTCGTCCTAATTATATCTTAGCAAGTTATGATGACATATATTCTCTTTGATTTTTTATTTCATATAATTGATTTTTTGCAAAGAAAAAAAAAGATATATATACATATATACATATAAGAAATGTAGATAAAAATGTTGGACATATTTTCTGAAACGAGCCGTATTTTCATTTTAATTTATTTCTATTCTTGCAGATAAACGTCTAGCTAGCAGCATTGACGATGAGTTGGTTGTCTTGCATGTAATTGATTCAATAAAAGAGTTAAATTATATGTGCACTTCGTCTGATTTTTCGTCTACTGGCCAGTAATTGTATGAATCTTTCCAATAGTAAGAACCCTCTCACTTATCGCTTACAAATTAAACTTGGGTAAGGGTTTTTGAGTGATTAGCTTCACAGATACACCTGTCAGGTTTTGTTTGGTATTCAAGAGAAAGACAATCGTCCACTGTCATTTCCATAAAGAAATTGGAGACTGAGAATTCAATTCGAGATTATAGATATATGAAAAACAAGAGGTCCATGGGCCTTAACGGTCATCTTACTACAAAACTTTCAGCAGGAAGAAGGGTTATTTTTTCTACTTTGAATGAACTCTTACTAAAAAGCTGTTTCCATGATGCAGATGGTAGTTTTGGTGAGAAGTATGTAAGTATAAAAAGGTATTGCACAGGAAAATCATGATTACGCAATCATGTTTTAGAATGGCCTCCCTGGCTGCCGTGTCAAAGTCTTTGACAAGGTCGAAAATCAAAAATACTTTGTTGGCTACCTTTCCTTTCCCAGATTTCTGAATTAGAAAAATGATCCTCAGCCCCCAATGATGTTTAAGACCAAACCTCTGAATCTCAAACTTATTCAAGGCATTTTGATGCTTTTTAAGAGTGTGAAGTTTGTTAAGAATTTCTCAAGGAATGAAAACATTAGAACACTGACAATTTTCTAAGAAATACTAACAATGCCCTTGACATTGACCAAACGTCTCAACTCTGCAATTCAAACGATAACACTTAAATTGACATTGTTCTAACAACTCTGAAACTCAAACTTGTTGAAGGCATTTTAATGCTTAATAATCGTCTAGGGTTTGATGAAAAGTCCTTCAGGAATGATGTCACTAAAGCGTTGACAACATTTATCAGAGACAAAGGAGATTGACGGACTGTAACAGAGGAATATATCCCCTCTCCCCTCTAGTTTCACTGGTGAATAGCCATATAAACTGGGATTCACCTCTATAGTAGTGAAATGTCATGCTATTTAAGACACAAAAATGATTCTTTTTTATTCAAATTAAGTCGGCATGTCTTTAGAGTCGTAGAATTCCTTATTGCTATGTTGCACTGGCTGCCTTTTTCAAGTTGGTAGTTCCACATCATTCATAAAAATTGTACAAAAGACACACAAGAGAATAACACCTTTTAATACAAGATTGGATTTAACAAGGCTAAGGTAGAGCCAACACCTTGGTTTCCTTGATTTGTTTAATGATCTGGTGTTTTGCTCCTTGTTTTCTGAAATTTCTGAAATAATCTCCCTATTTGGTCCAGGGCTTATGGTCAAACAGAAGTCAGATTCATTATTCATAAAAATTTCTTCTCACAAAACTTGTAAAAAGACATGGTAAATTTTTTAAACAACTTATATTTCCCCACCTGAGCCCCATCCCTCCTGCCAAAGATCCTTCATTGATACAGAAATGTTTCTCCTTCCACAAATAATATTTCAGATAAAATGTGGGCAAAACTGGTTCCCTTCAACCGAAAAATGCAAAAATGCAAAATCCCACCATCCGTACAGGAGGAATTGGATTTTTAAGATTTTTCTAGACTTCCCCTATTGGACCCCACTGCTACTTCCAAGGGGGTTAAGTTTATACTGTTTATACAAAATTGATTCCCCTGCATCCAAAGAATGCTTAAGATCAGATTATGAACTGATTAGCACTGAGTGCATATAAAATACAACAAAGAACACCAAAGAATGCAACAGATAATGTAATGACAGGATGAACACTACTCGCACATAAAATGTTGATAAACACTAAACATCTTATCGAATGTTAAATATTCGGACTGAATCCCAATACAAATTGTTGTTCAGTGCCCACAAAGTCTGATTCATTAGTACTTAGGGATATATCTATATTTGAATACATTATATTATTGTCTGTTATGAGGTGCTGCTCTAGGTTGCACTTCTCTTCTACAGTTGTTAATTTCTGTGTACGTCTATTTCTTGTCGGTATTTCAGTCTCCTTCACCAAACATTTATTATCTTGTCTATAATGCCCGTCAGATACACATTGTTCTGAAGATGTATTTGCTATCTCGTTCACAACTGCATTTAATTCAGAGAAACTAGTTGATACCACATGGCAATTATTCTGCACAATTTCCTTCCCATGTTCAAGATTTGTTTCTGGTTCTATCTCTATGTCACCTTCGTTTGCCATGCCAATAGCTCCTTTATATTTGAAGGATTTGAGTCTGTCAACAATGCTGTTGTAACCCTGGCCAGTTTTCATGACTTTATCCCAGAGTTTCGTGGTTGTCATTACCTCCATTTTGTGACGATTACGCAAGTGTTTGTCTAAGTTGCCCTTCAGTTTACAACGAAAGCCACAAATATGACACTGGAATGGCTTATAGTCCTGGAAAATTAAAATTCTGTATTAAATTGACAAGCATTTGACAAAAAATAAAAGAATTACTTAAACTGATAAGTGACGTGAACAGCAATGATAATCGAAAATATAAAAATGGACATATGACAACACTTTAAAGATGTTTAAAATCAGGAAAACTTCTTTGGAAGCATATCACCTTATTCTGTGTTAAGCTTACAAGGAGTAAAAAATCTAGAAAAAAAAAAAATAAAATAAAATAAAAAAGTTACAGATTTTTTTCCTAAATTGATATAGTCAACAAAAGGTCATCAATACAGTCGTCTTAATATAAAGAAGCAAGGAGATTTGAAGAATAAAATAACAATACAATAATGTGAAACAAATAGATCATTTTCGGTAGTAGAAATCAGTCACAACGAGCAAAGACGTCGGGTTCATCAATTTATTGTCGACCAGTTTTCCCAAAATTGGGCTTCGTCAGAACAAAGTTACATCAAAATTCTTACACCAAGAATACACAAAACGACGATACATATTTCACCATTTCACGTTTACCCAATGTTGACTCATTCTACTTTCACTATAAGTCATTTTGTTTAAAACCATTTACAATTATTCTTTATAAAAATATCTACTCAGATTCCATGTCTTATCCAGTTGTTTTATGTGGTACAGTAGTTGCAATATATGCAATATTTTAGATGTAGATTGAGATGGCTTTTAAAACAAAGGGTTTTCCCCTAATTACCATTACGTAATGTAACCCCATGTCTGGTTAGATAAATCACATGTTAATCAATCTCAACTGATGTTTTATATAAAATATGGAATTTTTTTTTCTTTTCTTAAAAAAAATGTTGAAAGTAACAATCTGTCTAAAAAATGTACAACCATCATTATTTAACATGTCCAAGTCAGTCATTATGTAGAGGGGTTATATCAACTTCACTTCTATACAAATTATCTCTAGCAATGTTTAAACCAATTATCATTCGAAACTGTCAAGTCTTAAAGGAATCAAAATTGAAAAACAAAATGATACACTTTCCCTCTTATTAGTTTATGGAGTAGGAATGATTCTCGCATACTCTCAACTTTATTACACCAGTCTGGAGTTAACACCATGCTGTCACAGGTATAAGGAAGTCCATGGAACATTCGAATCATTTACCATTAATGGCCCTCTCACTTTTGGGTTATATCAATTTAATATATGAAAAGTTTGTAAATATTATAAGTCTTTTTAATGTCTAATGTGGTTTCAATAGTTACACAAATTTAATATATGAAAAATTTATAAATCTTACAGTCTTATTGATGTCTAAATCTGGTTACAATTTTTATACCAATGTCCTTTAATATCTAAAACAAACTGTGTCAATCCCTCAAATATAGTATTTAAGACCAGATGTTAAGTTAAAAACCTTAAGGAGGCAAAATGTTCAATTTCTGAAAATTAAATCCATCTTGTAACATTAGAGGTGGTACAGCTGATGTCTGTTTACACATGCATGTAAGTTCATCTCACTTCAATAATATCAAATATCAAATGGAAATTTGTAATCAAAATACTACACTACCACTTTTGAACCAGCCTATCTACCACAAGATTATAAGAAGGGCTGTAAAGAACACCAAGGTGAGATTAACCTTTGAATACAAATGTACAAGAGACATAAGATATGGCATATAATATACATTCAAGCAGCTCTATCATCCTAATCTGAGACTCCTCCATCCCTAGCATTATTTTAGGTCAAATGCGTAATACATACTGTCTTAGGCATTAGGATAAGTATATTTTTAAAGATCATGTTTTCGTTTTCTCACTTGACCACATACCACTCCACTGGACCTTGGTACAATACTGAACATCTAATTGAACATCTCGTTGAATACAAAAAATAGATGTCCTCTGATTGATTGTACAATGGACTGGCTGAAATTAATCTGCCAGTTTCTTCAGAGGAAGCTTCCGAAGAAACGAACAACAGAAATTAAAACCAAAAACGAAACATATTTCAAAACTTACTGAATGCTTTGCATCCTGGTGAATTTTCAATGTTGCTTTTGATTTGGCTTTGTAGTCACAATCTGGATAGGAGCAATTAATCAATTTTACTTCCGCTGAAAGACGATGATGTTGGATGTTATTGTGATTATACATTAAAAGCAAGGATGGTTATGTCTCCTCCACAAGAAAGATTTCTAGTTTAGTGAGCAATAACAGTCTGGCACACCCATGATTCTGTTACAATATGCAATATGAACAAAGGGAGGTAACACAAAAAACCCCAAAAAAACCAACTTCACATTCTACAAGTAAAATGCTTCCCTTACACATACACTCCTTGTATACAACCTAGATTACTAAATTTGGCTTGATTGGCCAATGAAAGCAGAAGATCTGGTCTTAAAATGAAAGTTGGCAAATGAACATACAAAGTCATGCTCTCACTGAACTAATACATTATATGTCTGAGATATAATACCAAATGTCACTAAAATTGGATCATGCTTAAATTTTGACCACTTTGGAACCTTGGTTTGAATGCCATGACAACATCAACTTCCTTACCAAACTTGGTCTTAATAGGTCAATAAGAACAGAAGCGATTACCCTGCAGGGAAACCAAAGAGTTACAGTGATCCTATTTTAGTGGAAGATCATATGACCTTTGACCAAAAGAACTGAAAAGCAATCATATGCATCCCCTCCATACAAGTTAAACATCAATGTAACATATAGGCCTTTTCTTTAAAACAATTAACCAATTTGTATATGTCAAGACCATAAGTCTATGATCACAGTTATTCACTTCATTTCAGCCCACTGCAGGACAAATATGAACCATACATCTCTCTGTTTACAGCACAATTTCTTTAAAGGTTTTTAGGTATTTGTCCCCTAAAACTTTTGATATCCCATCATCCAAGCATGCTTCTGCCCAAATCCATTCCAAGCAAAAAGATGATGCCAGAAATATTGGCTTAAAATTGATACACAAATTGTGACTAAGTGTAGTGTAAAATCTGTAAATAAATTAGAAAAAAACTCTTGAAGATAAGGGCAATTACTCTGGAAAGACTGCAGTATGAAACCTGCATAGTTTATACAAGAGATGACTTTGTCTTCCCATTATATGTAATTTTAGTTTTATGGATGTGTACGTAAGGTACCAATGAAGTTATACATTAGTTCTATGTTAATGCTATGACCCTCCCAAAGCCATCAGGTAACACACCATGCCAGGATAATTTCCAAATATGGTATTTCAGGGCTTAATCAGAAGAGGTTTAAATTACAACAGCTGACCATTGATCAAATTCAAACCCTGAGCAAATTTAAAGACCTATCATTGAAAATGTTCCAATACAAACTAAGGTGTTTAGCACTGACATTACATTAAAGTAAACTAACATGATCACTTATCAAATTAATTTCCCTAACAAGCTGCTTTATTTTTCTGTAGATGTCTCCATCTAAATATCTAAAAAAAATTGTGAAAAACAACATTAAAACCACTTGATACTATATAAAATGTTCACAATACATACCTTTGTGTTTCCGCTCATGGACATACAGCCTCATTTCTGTTTTCAGTAACTTTCCACACTCCTTACACTTATAATTATTATCTATCAGATATAGAATGTTGAAGTTATACATGCACACCCATCATACATCACTTTTTTAAAAACATTTTTATATGTATCATATACAAAATTATTGAATTGAGAAGTATCATTTTTACTGCAATAAAAAAATACTTTCAAAGAGATTAATTGATGAAAACTGAAAACACAAGGGGAGAAAGCATTTCATCTTGTAAGATAAATATCAATCAATATTATTGTTACAATGGAAACTTAGGACTCATGTTGCAAATTACCAGTACTGTGTGGTAATTTAATTGGTATCTTGAATTGAGCTGCACAAACATGAAAGATACCAAAACATAGCCATACTCATGAAATATATTTGTAATCACAGAAAAACAATGTAAAATATCCTCTATCTATCATGTCAGCTCAGGATCAGCTGGACAGATACATTAAATGTTACTACTGTGACATACCATAACTAACACCATTAAAAAAATGAGAGATCCTTGAGGGATCTTTACACAGTGTAATCATGATATGTACTCTTCAGTGGATTTTCTCATCTTTTCTGTTATTTATCTGTTTCAGAACAGTTCAGTGTACTTAAATATATGTATTTGTTTAAAGCCTAACACTGTTGAACCCCACAACAAATTTGGTTGAATGGCACATTCATTTTATAAGTATATCATGAAATTAGTTGTATATCATTAAATGAATGCACAAAATGTTAAGCCAATTTTGATATTTCTGAGGGAGCTCCTGAATATTCTCCTAATCCATAAAAAATTTCACCCAAAAATGGGAAACCATGATTGAACAAACATGTTACAAAATGGCTACCATGACTGCATATCAAAATTTTGACAAGTCTGAAAAATGACAACACATTGTTGACTTCCTTTCCTTAACATCTCTATTAATTCTCAGCTAAACAGCACCAATGGAACACTTCAGAAGAATTTTAAAATACACTTTTTCAAGATAACAGTCATGACAACCATATTAGGCTGTGCATTAGCTTGAAAAACAACAACACTTGGTCTGTTAAAATTTTACACATGGCAAAACAGCAATGAGGACAAAATAAAATGGCCATGCATGTAGGTCATCCAGACACTTTATCACAAAACGAAGAACAAATTGAGTTACTCCACTTATTGCAAAGACAGTGGATATAAATTTCTCACCAGAATGAAGGTCCAGATGACTCCTGTAGCTGATGCTGGTGAAGGTGTAGTAATCACAGTGATGACACTGGAATCTACAATATTAACATGGTCATTACATCAAAGTGTTTTCCTGATGTAATTATAAATTTTATATTCATTATAACTGTAATAACCTACGAGAATCCAATAGGGTTAAGGAAAGATTTAACAGAAGTGCATCTTAATTTTCTTTAATTATATTACATATCAACTGCAATTATATTAATAAAATACTGCATAGTTCATATTTACATAGCCAATAACATTTTGGCAGTATTGATTGAATATCTGGTAACAATTAGCAAAAATCCTTCTCATATATGTGATGCCTGTTATTTCAGTGAATTTTTTCAGGAAAAGCTAAAACATGGAATGGCTGGCAAAAACATTAAATGTGACAATACAACATTGCAGAATAAGTTCCACTTATTGACCCATGATTACACCAACTGTTCAGTGCTGTGGTCATAGGATGGTCGGGGACAATCAACTGTCTAGTGCTGTTGTCATAGGATGGTCGGGGACAATCAACTGTCTAGTGCTGTTGTCATAGGATGGTCGGGGACAATCAACTGTCTAGTGCTGTTGTCATAGGATGGTGAGGGACAAATGTAAGTATACTGAAATGCATTGCACATACCAGGGGTATAATATGTCTTATAGTTTAAAATCAACATTGAATAGAAAACCTTTTATCTACTGTACAATGGAGCCATCTGAACCACATTATATGTTAATATCAACCAGACGATTTGACTACAATAAATCTTGGCATTAATTAGCATCAAATGACTTTAAAACTTCCTCTTTTCTCTGGATATTACAATCAATAGTCATATGGAACTTACAAAGTTAATTTTAATACAAACTCAATTCTGTTGTATTTTCTTTTTTTTATACTTTGATACTTAGATTTATTCCATTCCAAACAGAGAAAAATTGCATCTGACATTATGTGACAAAAGAATAGGCTAACATTAAGAAATTCAAGATAAACAGAAAGGCTGGGCCATAGAAGACTTGGTACATTAAATCAGCTACATTGCATTGGTATCTGCAAAATATTGGACTTACATTTTAAAGTTCTTTGGCAGAGGCGTGTTGTGTACACGATAAAGGTGAATGTGCAGTTCTCGACGGGAGGAACTCTTCCATGGACAGAGGTGACAAAGTTCATTCTGCTCATGAACATTTTTAGTATGGGCCTGCATTAGATCAGACATTTTCATTAAGTGATAATAAAATACTACCTGAAAAATGATGAAAAAATGGAAATTAACATTTCTCAAATAATGTGAAATATAAGCTCCGTAGACCGTTTCTAAGATGTCCCTTACACAAGGCAACAATTAAATGCTGTTCAGGATTAATGGTGAAGGCACAGCAGCAGAAAGAACAACTTAAACCCAACAGATGGTTTCCATGGGAACCATATTAGATTGTGCAACTTGAAAAATAACAACTTTTCATCTGTTAAAATTTGGCTATACATGTAGGTCATCCATGGTTCATCTTTTCTCTTCTTTTGAGTCAGTCCTAAATTCAAACTAGAAATTGTTGTTAACAATTTTGCGGGCTTTTCGCTTTTTTGGCGACAAGTTGACCGGAAGTTGACATTTATCCTGATAACAATATATGAGAAAGTTTCCTTGTTTGTTAGTCTCTACAACATATCCAAAGATGAACTTTGTATCTTGAAACGTTAAGGAGATATAAGTACATAATAACGAAGAAATACACATTTTAAAGGTTCAAACATATTTGACCCCTGTGACCTTGAATGTCGGTCAAGGTTATTCATATTTGCAAGCCTTATGATTTAACATCTGATGATCAATATATTCCCAATATTAGTTCTCTAGACCTTGTGAAACTTGACAAGATTGTTGAACACTGGTACACTATTTTGTATCTTTGAACTTTGACCCCTTTCGGAAACCAGAAGTTTTTCATTTTCAGGGAAGTTTTTCTATTTACAATCACTAGGAAGTCTCCACAGAAGGTTTATATTTAATTTTCATCATTGTATGCCTTCTAGAAATTGAGAAACTGTCATTTAACGATTTTTAGTTAATTGACATCTGTGACCTTGAAAGTGGGTCAAGGTCATTTATATTATTAAACTTTGTTGCCAGTTACATATGCTTCTTATATGTGAAATATACAGCTTCTAGGCCTTTCAGAACTTGAGAAGAAGTTTTTCAAAGATTGGTACCCTTAACAGCACTTTTCAAATTTCACCCCCTACCGCAAACAGAAAGTTGAATTTTGAGGTACGTTTCTCTTACATCAATCAACAGGAAATGTCCACAGAATAATTATGTTGAAAGTTGAAGACTTTGGGCAGCTTAAGAATGGAGAAATTACCATTTAACGATTTTTACATAATTGACCCCTGTGACCTTGAAAGTGGGTCAAGGTCATTTATATTAACAAACTTGATAGATAATTAAACAGACATCTTACACATGAAATATCAAGACTCAAGGCTTTGCAGAACTTGAGAAGAAGTTTGTCAAAGTTTGTAACTGAAAATAACACTTTTGAACTTTGACCCATACCGAAAACCGGAAGTTGATCATTGATCCAAGTTTTTTTCTTGTGAAAAGTGTTTTATTTTTAATTAACATAATATGATTACAAATGAGGTCACTAGCTTAAACAGTTCCTGAGTTACGGCTTTTTAGGTAAAATCGGAAATGACATCATGGCGGCCATTTTGTTTTTCCGATGAATTTGTAAATGTCACTAAATGGTAGAAGACATCTGGGGAAATCTTCTCTGTAACAATTTGATAAAATATAGCCCATCAATATTGATCTAGAACGAGTTTTTCCTATTTGTCGGCATTTTTAAAAGATCAAGGAAATTTTCAAAATGGCGTACAGCGGAAATGGTAAACGTTTCAGAACAACTGAAAACACTTAATTCATCAGAAGGACATTCTGCATCAATCTGATGAAGAAAATTTCAAGAAAATTCAAAATTGAAAAAAAAAATTGTTAAATTTTGAAAACTTTACCCCACAGCGAGCTTTTTTATTTGACATATTTTGTATTAAAATGGCATGAATAAAAGTTAGATGAAGAAATTATCTACAAATAATATTATTGCACAAACTCAATCAATGGTTTTCGAGATATTGCTGTTTTTAACTTATGATGTCATGGCGGCCATATTGGATTTTTGACCTACTTAAAAAATCGGCATCGACAACTTCATATACGTATCTACAAAAAAGTGAATAGACTGTATGTCTAGCTTTTACAATTTAAAAGATTACGAACCCACAATATTGGAAGAAGAATAATAAGAATAATAATAATAAGAATAATAAGAAACAGAACAAAAACAACAGGGCTTTTCACTTTCACCAGGTAGTGAAAAGCCTTAATTAGGGGCCACAGGGGAAACACACACAGAAATTGAAAATGATCCTTCCAATGCAAAATTTCCTTAAAAATAGTAATAACAAACTTTAAATGTTAAAATTCAAAATGGTCATCTGCCGTCCATTTTCTTTATCCAATCAGTTCCAAAATAATCAACGCACAAGTAGGAACCAAGGTGAATCTAATTTGATGTACTCCTAAATAGATAGCAATAACAAAATGGCCTCAGTTGAAAGGTGATTTGAACAACCCACTTTCTGATGATCATCAATTGCATATATTACATATATATTTTTTACATCCTTATTAAATTTATTTCCATCATTGTATAACAATATATTATTAAATGTCCTCACCAGTAGTTAATCAGTAGATGTATTTCCTGTATAGAGTTTCCCATATTATCACATATCAAGACATCAAAAGACTGTCCTTCACACAAAACTTCAATATTTTCTCTACAATACAGCATGATTTTTCAATATTAGAATTTGGTTATTCTCTTGTCATATGAAAAGTAAACAAATTAGACAAATTGACATAAAAAACAAAGTCACAGAATGTTATTTTCCTTTTATAGTCAGTTTGTATGTCATGTAGTATATTCCTACTTTAAAACGCTTGAGTTATCAAATGTTTAATGTTATGATAATGTACACTATTGCATATCCTGATATACATTACAGTAACCAGTCATTGCATGGTGTACCTAACATGTTTCATTCATTCATACTTTCACACTGGTATTCCTATAACTAAGAAAGAAGGAATCACTTTGGATGATATATGTGACCAATGATTTGTCTATTGGTTCAGAAACGTGTGCTCCATTGTGTATTTCTTACCATTGCTGTAATAAATACAACAGTTTCCAATCATCATCAATCTCATAAAAAGGGCAACCTGATTTAAAAACTAGAGTAGCCATTAAACTGATGCATGCTTCTCAAAAACAACTTTATTGGAAACAAAATCTTAATAGAGAGCAACAATTCTGTGACTAAGGTGTTGCAGGCGTAGATATTGGTACACTGCACATTGTCTAAGAATGGCATACAAATACATCAAGTTTCATTATCCTAAAAAAATACAAGCAAAGATATGCTCCAGATATAAAAAAAAAATTCAAAACAGGGCATTGATTTTGTAATTAAGGGGTTGCAGGCCTTGACTTTAGAATATACTTCACATTGTCCTAATATGAACAATGAAAACACCATTTCTTAGTAGCTTGTATAAATTAATGTAATCAAAGCTATTCTTCAGACACAAAATTTTAACAAAGGGCAATAACTCTGTAATGAAGGGGTTGTGGGCTCTTTATTTGGTAAACTGCTCATCGTCTTTGTATGAAAAATGTATACACCAAGTTTCATGATCCTTGCTAAACTATGGACAAAGTTATGCTCTTGACACGAAAGGACAGACAAAAGACAAATGGACAGAAAAAGCGACAACAACACGCTTCACCAAATATTTTGGGGGAGCAAAAAAGGACACATTTTCATGAAAACTTCAGATACTTACATTAAGAAGTGACTGACGAGGAAATGCTTTCTCACATACATTACACCTGAAGGAGAGATTATCTGGATCATGTGTTTTTCTGTGGCAAATCAACTGGGACTTGTACTTGAAGCTTGCGTTACACAAATCACACTGAAACTGGCGCTCCTTGGAATGTATCTTTCTGTGGACTGTAATGTTATGCTTCAAGATGGATTTAAAACCACAGCCCTGAAAGGAACACACAAAATGAATTACATGTAGTTCTTTATACCTGGAACAATCAAGTCTTTATAACTGGCAAATGATTCTTAAAAAAAAATCATTTACTATGAGTTTACTCAGAAATCCTCTGTATTAATGCAATGTCATAAATATGCGCAAAAATACTATATTCATCATAATTAAAACCCTGTGACAAAATATTTTATGTCTCGGGATGAACATGACACATATTTTTAACAACCTACATAACGATATTAAGATGAATTTTTCATCTCATTAAAATCATTTACTAGAATATGGCATATTGAAGACCTCAGTTTCCCGTAACACATTTTCAAATGTTGATAAACAGATCACTTAAATCTGAAGAAATTAAAATAGAATTTAAAAGGTGAACATTATTTTGACTTGTACTGTGTGTTTATTCCACAATAAGCCCTAGGAGCAAACACATTTCTTTAAATCGAGGTCAGTGGGTCTGTTACCTACAGGACAATGAATAGCATTGCTTTGTATGTTAACTGTGGACAGCATAACTCTGTATAGGGAAATGTTTTCATGATTCCTATTTTATTTTTTATTTTTTTTTATTCTTTTAGTTTCTTTTTTTTTTTGTTTGTTCCACTTGCACATAAATCCCTTTCTCTCCTGCAGTCTGGATCAGCCTTAAAGGACATGAACATAGAACTCATGGGGTACAAATGATTATTTCATCCCACCTTCCATCTTTGTCTTACTGGCAAAAAATGCCAATATTTCCCATATAAATTTACTAACATGCATTGACTTGTTGGGTACTTAGGGTATGACGGTGGTAAAGATTAATTACAGTAAAAAATGCTGGTACTCACGGCATGGTCACATTGATGAAGAGGATACTTGTCTGGTCTGTGGTGAATGCCATGCTGGTTGTACTTGTGAGAAGCTAGATTAAGACCACGATTAGAACTCCAACCACACACATCACAAGTAAACAAGTGAAGTTGTTTTTTGTGTTCCTGAAACTTTTCTTTGTCTTTGAACTTGATCCTACAGAAGCGACAAAAGTTCAAAACAAATGGTTTCTTCTGTTTCTCATCTTCCAATCTAGAGTCTGTATCAGAGTTACATACTGTTGTCTTAAAAGCTTGGCTAACATTTGAATTTTTACCTGTTTTTGGCAAAATTTTAGTTATATTTGAATTCTGACACAATTTTTCCTGATTATCACAATCAGGAGTCTTTTTCTTTGGTGTATGTCTTGTTGTTTTTGCTTGCCTTCTATCTACATGATCAGGAACAATTTCTTGCAAAGTTTTCCCTTTTCTTTTCAGTTGTTTTTCTCTTCTTTTGACCTCCTTCAGATCCTTATTGTTTCCATTTCTTAGTGCTGTCTTCATCCTACTAGATTTTTGAATCCCAAGCCTTGCTTTCTGAGACTTTGCCTCAGACCTTAGAGTAAACTGATGATTTGGCTTTAAGTTTTGTGCTGCAGACCCTGTTACTTTTGTACTTAGAAGAGAGCCTGAATCCTTCTGGTGCATTTCCTCAAACTTACAAAATGTTTTAACTTGCGAATCAGTAGATTTATGACAATTTTTCTCCACCATAGGACTCTCCACTTTACTACCTGTTGAAGGTGGCCTGCCAGGTTTCTCAGTAGTGATCGTTGCCACACTATCCCGGTCATTATGGAACATATGTCTTGGCATCATGACAATGCCCTCTGATGGTCTAACATCATTTACTATCGCTGGGTCTGTACCAAAGTGTATTGATTCATTCACTGTTTCTCTGTTGATACTACATTTGTTTTTTTGTCTGAATTCATGACAGAGTTTAGTTGCTTTCTCAAGTCCTAAGAGACTGCATAGAGCAAGAATTTTTTCTATGCTGCATGTTGTAAGGTGCATCTCTCCTGTGTATAAAAAACGTATCACTGTCTGCACATCAAAGAAATCATAATCTTTGACCAGGACAGAATGGGACTGACTCACTGAATCATCCTTCACCTCTGTACAGAGTTGTTTTCTAAAGTAAGGACTGCCACTAGCCAACAGCACTACTTGATGAACGTTAATGCTAGCTTGGGATGTCTGGATGGTACAGTCACAGAGATGTCCCTGCTGCTGAAGCTGGTATAGTGATGATGCTAGATAGGTAACATGGCTGGGAGACTTCAATGTCTCCTGATCAGTCATCCTAAATGCTTGTGGTGGTGTGTCTACATGCACAGCTGCAGTTTATCTATTACAACATACAAGTCATTGTGTCATTTGAAATTAACCAAAATAACAACAATTATTCCCATTTCCTTAACAACAAACTCTACAATACAGGTATTTTGACAATTAATTTTTTTACCGCTCTTCCCTGCTTGTGGAAACTACACCTCTCAATTTCAAATTTTGAAAATATTATTTTTTGGAGGTTGTAATATTTGTCCAATGGATTCTTCTACATCATTATAATAGTTTTGTTGGAGGATAATCATATGCCAACTAATTCTGTGTATCTAGGTCTATATTTATATGTACAGTGTGTATTGAGGTCTATATCTATATGTACAGTGTGTATCTAGGTCTATATCTATATGTACGGTGTGTATCAAGGTCCATATCTATATGTACAGCGTGTATCTAGGTCTATATCTATATGTACAGGGTGTATCTAGGTCCATATCTATATGTACAGGGTGTATCTAGGTCTATATCTATATGTACGGTGTGTATCTAGGTCTATATCTATATGTACAGTGTGTATCTAGGTCTTTATCTACATGTACAGTGTGTATCTAGGTCTATATCTATATGTACAGGGTGTATCTAGGTCTATATCTATATGTACAGTGTGTTTCTAGGTCTATATCTATATGTACAGTAAGTAGTGAGGCATTTATTTATATACAGTAAATGCATTAGGGATATTCCTTCTACTCTTAATGTAAAGTGAGAAGGCAATCATATGTTCAGGTAAAATTTGAATCGGCCACACTTCTCCCCCTTTTTAAATGCATTCATCCTGAAAACATCATCAGACCTGGTTCTCTTGCTCAAACAAAGTCTATACATGTAGCTCTTGGTTTCCTTATACAATGTAGTTAAACTTGGAATGGCCTGTATAACCAACTGTAATAGGAAAGCATGTACATGTTGTGGGCCTCTACATGGGATTAAACCTGCAAACCAAAGCTTACTGGAGAGAATGTCTCTCCTGTGTGAAGCTTGAAGGCAAACACATACATCTAGTCTTTTGTACAAAATATACATGTACACATTTGCATTTAGTCTGGAGGGTTCTGACCATCTCTCCACGATTATGATTTTTTTTCTGGGTTGAAACCAAAACAAAATTAATTTAGCAGAGATAGTCATAACTAACGTAAATTGTATGAAAGATTGTACACGTATGTACATGACATTGTCAATAGTCAATACTGAACATCCAGAAAACTTATATTCGTACAATGCAAGTGTGTACAGGTATCTCAAAATACATATATGGTGTAAAAAGAGTGTAGGTGTGCAGTATATGTAAACTGACAGATCTAGACATGGCAAACATATCAGCCGATATAATTCCTCCAGAACGAGATTTAATATTTTCGTTGTTGACCTTTCGTCGATGAATACAGTTATAAAGTGCATGTTACTTGATCCACAAGCACCTGTATCTGGAACGTAAATAACACCAGCAAAATCCATGCCAATTTACTAGGAATTTTGCTTGTGGTGTTTACGTTCCAGATACAGGTTCTAGTGGGTTAATGTTGCTGATCGGTCGATTTATTACGTGACATTATCGTTCAGATCACAACAAAAGCTGGTCAAAGTCCTACACATATATCATCAAACATATTTTTACTTAACTTACCAGATGTCAAATTACTTTCGGTTTGTCCAAAAGCACGAAGGCCTAATCACAGTCAAGGACCTACCAGACCGCCTGACACAAAGTAGACCTACAGGAACAATGCTAATACAATCCCCACTTTCCCAATTCCCATCTGACAGAAAATTGTTATCAATTAAACTAAGCACACCATTAAACATTAAACCAGCCAAAGCCAAATTGTTGGATTTATAAAAGTGATTTGCTTTAAAATTTGCATGGGAATCAAAATATCGCGCAATAGTAAAAAAGGGACGTCACTCTTACAGGCATACATGTACTTGTACGAGAGCTTCTATGCAAAACTGTCACCACTCTAAAGGAGAATATCTATATCTTGTCATCCACAAAAGGATATCTGTATAAAAATGTAATCCATTAAAAGGATATGTCTTATATCTTCTGTGTAAAAATTTCATCCCTATAAAGGATTTCATATAAAAAAAATGCAATCCATCAAATGGACATCCCTATAAAATACCAGCCACTGATAGGATATTTTCTATATATCTTCTATCGAACAACGTAACATCTACTAAGTTATATTATCTGATTCTTACTGGTGAAATCGCATGATCCATTCTTTAATACATTGTACCGTGAATTTTAATGATCTTCTATAGCTGGAATTGTGTCTCATTTGTATATTTAACTCCGGAATTTTAATATGCTGTTTGTGTACATGAACTCTGAGTTGGTTCTCCGTTTCTCCGATGTAAAGTCTTTACAACCTGGGCATTTGATTACGTAGATTACTTTTATTATGGTACATGACATCAATGAATTTATTTTAAAGTTCCTTCTGCTAAATCATTTACGAGTTTCCTTCAGATAGAGTTGAGCAGGGGAGACAACTAGTTACGTTACATTAATGAACACTTTGAAGTCCATAAATGTAATGAAACTAGTTGTCTCCCCTGCTCAAGTTTACAACTACATCAGTTTGTAGTTTTTATTTATACATACTGTTAATTTAAGACTAATATGCTGTTGTTTACTATTTTTTTTTATTTCAGACTTTTCTGTAGCATTTCGATGTTTTAATATTTTATTGTGATTTCTATATAGATATGTACATTTAAAATATATGGATTGTTTACAATAGAAAGTGTTAATAAAGCAAAGACTATCTCAATGAATTTCTGACAGGTGATTAACATATGAAAAGGTAACAGAAAAGTCTAACAATTTACCGAATTTCTTCACTGCTGAGTACACATAGGTAGATTAACTTGGATTGTATAAAATGTTAATGTATACCCGAAAGAGAATCAGCACAGCATCACCTAGTGTTACCTGTAATCAGTGTACATCTTGACTTTTATATGATTATCTATAGTTAGTCTTACACGTAATTAGTGTATATACTTTAATCAGTACAATATTACCTAGTCTTACGTGTAATCATTGTACCTGGTTTATATTACCCGTATGTAGTATATACGGCTCATCCCCCGAACACCAACTCTGCCAACTTGAAAGGAGGGTGTTTATGAAAAGAATCCTTTGATGTTAAAGTTATAGTCTGTTTCAACTAAGAATGTCAACTTGTCCTTGTAAATAGGATACTTACATATCAATAAGGAAATAGGTAAAGTTTTTTTTTGTTTTACATACAAATGTAACACATTTTTGTAGTATATGAAGTATTACAAAATAGTTATTACTTATTAGTATTTAAAATTGTTATTTATAATTTTAATGATTATCATATAAGATTATATTTAATTGATAAATAAAATTTAGTATGTCACAATGATACACTGATGTCTGTTATTAAATTGTATTTGTATTACATATATAATATTGAAACATTATCCACATTTTAGCATTAAATAGATTATTATCTAATATAAATAGTAAACCCCTAAATGAAGCTGAATTAGCACTATGTATGAAAATCTAGATATTATGTCCTTTTACAACCTGTAATAATCAAGTAATCCATAAGTCCAGAAAACACAATACACTCTATCCAAGATGCAGAAGCTCGGATGCTGAATCAGCATAGGTCATCAGGTCGGTTGTCCCAGTCTGGTAACGGTCCTTCAATGTGGCCAGGCGTCTGTCAATGTTGGTGTATTTCTTCTTCCGGGGTTAAATGGTGCCTCCTGCATCTCTCTGAATCCGGCTGATGTCGTTCATGTTCTGTATGTCCTTAAACGTATGGATGATGGTGTAGATGTTGGGGTGGGCATGCAGTACCTTCTTCAGTTTTCCGTGCCAAGCTTCCAGATGGTTAGTAGTCCGGGGTCCCTCGGTTGAGAAGTGGTTCCCGATGGTACGATCTCCCTCTATCCATTGTGTGCAGCTACCTCAAAATCGACGAAGGCTGTAGTGGGTCGGAATGGAATGTCGAAGTGTGCCATGTGATCCTGGAGAAGGGTGAAGAAACGGCTGTAGATTGCCTGGCTCTTTACGGGAAGTAATGCGTATACGACTGGTGTCATGATGCCTTCATTCTGTACATGGACGCTGTAAGTCTTTGGTAGTCGCTGGACCACGGCCTTGGAAGTGTCATCCCAGTCGTTGTCTCGGAGTTGATTGAGCTCTTCCTCAAAGATGGACGGAATAGGCTGGACCTATTATACGCATTTGTTGGTGATCTGGTTCATGATCTGTTTGGCTACAACACTGGCTGGGTCTGAGGCGTGGGTGTGTGGATTTCTTCCGAAGTTAGCTGGTATGTTGTCGATTGTCGAGAGTGATGCTGAGCAGCCTGAGGTCGAACATCTCCAGAATGTCCTGCTGCCGTTCTTTTGAATCTGTCTGAAGATGAATCCATTATGTGAAAGGTTCTGTCCGCCTCTTCTGTTGGTGATGAACTTAACGTTGATCTGAGCATTAGCCATACTGTCCTTGTATCAAACAACAAAGATAATAATATCACTCAAATTAAACACAATTTACATAAAAACTGAGAGAAAATACTAGATTAACTAATATTTGACAAAAGTTACAATTTACACAAAAACTGAGAGAAAATACAAGATTAACTAATACATATATGACAAAAGTTATGATTTGACAATATATATCTGTGACAAAAGTACAGTAATAAATCAAGCAATGATTGAGATATTGATCTTTCAAAGTGCAGATTGAAATATGATCATTTCCCAAAATGAACTTGGCTTTTATACATTTCCCATTGAATAGCTTGGGATTTAAACAGATTTAACACAGATATTTGATTCCTTTATTTTACAGTTATTAACAGTTTTCAGTTTTCTGAACAGTTATCAGAATCAGAACTTAATCATCTGATTTACCTGTTTTCTAAATAGTTATCAGACTTTACCTGTGCAAGTTACCTGTACTATAATTCTAAAACAGCTTATAAT